ATGTCAGTACGATGATGAAGTCCATCGCATTCTCCGACGAGCTCCGCGTCTTAAAGGAGAACCATTTTTCGTATTACGAGACCTCTCTCCGGAGGACCGAGTAAAAATGAAGAAAGCGGTGGATGAACTTAGATGTCGTGGTTATAACGGTGAGACGGACCTACATATCGTGGATTTTCGCGTGGTTCGAAAAACGCCAAGAACTCGTTGGAGGCCACTCCTTGTAATGCCCGGGCGTTAGAGTTGAAGAATAGACTGCGCGTAATTTCTTCCAATGTGCGCAGTCTCAGAAACAAACTAGACGAAGTTCAGCTTTTTGCCTCCATGAATCGGCCGGATCTTATAGCTTTCACCGAAACCTGGTTGTCCTCGGATATCCTGGACTCGGAGGTGCAGATCCCTGGATACCACCTTTACCGGGCAGACCGCCATGGAGGAAGACCTGGGGGAGGCGTGATACTCTACTGGAAGACGGACTTCAAGGCCCATCTGGTTGAAGCTACCTGTGGCAGCGATGGCGACTTCGAAACTCTCTGGTGCCGTGTTCATGACGGATGAAGATCTCTCATGGTCGGTGTAGTCTACAGGCCCCATTGGGTTCCGGAGCTTGTCTGCTGGACGCGATCAAAATGCATGGTGGAAGTAAGGACTGTTTATTACTGGGTGACTTTAATGCCCCGGGTATCGACTGGGACCAACTGCATTGTGTTCCCGCTTCAAACGTTTTTGATTCCGCTCTTCTAGAGACGGTTATCGAATGTAACTTATTCCAACATGTCACAGCGCCTACTCGTATAATTGCAGGACAAACACCCCATATCCTCGACCTTGTACTCTCACCGGCACAATCAGATGTCACCGACCTAGCCATTCTTCAGCCTATTGGTAAAAGCGATCACTGTGTCATTACATTCCTCTGGACTCGACGACTTACTCTCCACAACCAAGGTCGCCTCCTCAGAAATTTCTGGCGTGTTGATCCCCAACGCTTACAAACGGCTGCCAGTAGTGTGGACTGGAGTATGCCCGAATCCCTGAATTTGGACGATGAGTGGAACCTCTTACACTCCAAAATGATTTCGCTTGCTGAGCAGGTCGTTCCTGTCTACAAAAGACCTTTTGCCAGGGGTCCTCCATGGATTGATCGAGAACTGAGGTGCCTAATGAACAAAAGACGGAAACTGTGGGTCCGATTTAAGCTCACGCAATCCGGGTCTGACTATTCGGAATATAAAGTGGCCAGGAATATCTGCAACTTGAAAAAACGAGAGAAACGGCAAAAGTACGAACTCGGTTTGGCCTTGAAATCCAAGACAACGCCCAAGGCACTCTTCTCTTACCTGAAGAGAAGTACAGAGCAGGCAGTGGTATTCCTGCTCTGTATTCCTTGGCTCATGTGGGTTTGCTTGACGATGATGCTGCGGAAGCCAGTCTCCTGGCCATGCAATATGCATCTGTTTACTCGATGGAGACGCCGTTTCCCAGTGACGCCGTGCCAATACTCCCTTCTTCGTTGGAGCATGTAGAAATGAGCGTCGATGTCGTTGCCAAAGGTATTCGTGAATTAGATCCGAACTCCTCGCCAGGTCCTGATGGGTTGCACCCGCTGTTCCTCAGGACTGTGGCCGATTTCATTGCCGCTCCCGTTTGCCGGATATTTCGACATTCCCTTGAAGTTGGACGGCTCCCGATCGCTTGGAAAGTGGGGATTGTTAAACCCATACACAAAGGAGGGGATCGTCAAAACCCTGCCAACTATCGACCTATCTGTTTAACGTCAATATTGTGCAAGGTAATGGAGAGGATTCTCAAGTGGGCACTTCTTTTCCACCTCGAGAACCTTAACGTCATCTCTTGTGCGCAGCATGGTTTTCGGCGGGCACGCTCCTGTGCTTCGAAACTGCTTATGGCCCGTGAAAGATGGGCGAAATCATTAGACGCTGGGAAACGTCTGGATGTTATTTTTGTCGACTTCAGCAAGGCCTTTGATAAGGTTCCTCATGAAAGACTCCTTTATAAACTACGATTAATCGGTGTTTCTGGGAACGTTCTCTCTTTGATCGCTGATTTCTTGGATAACCGGACAATGCGAGTCGACGTGAACGAGACTTACTCCGCTCCCGTGCTCATGACTAGCGGTGTCCCACAGGGATCGGTCCTGGGCCCAGAACTTTTCAAGATCTTCATCAATGACCTTCCGGCGGCACTTCAGTTGGATTGCTTGATTTACGCTGATGACTTGAAATTGTGGATGGAGGTATCCTGTCTTGACGAGGCGGACCGATTACAGGCTACACTTGACACGTTACATGAGTGGTCAGTCAAATGGCGATTGCCCATAAATCGCGATAAGTGCTCGGTCCTTCCCATTGGTGCTTCTGAGCCTTTCGGGACGTATCACATCGGTGGGACGTTGCTCAGAACCTCAATCCTAGAAAAAGACCTCGGCGTGTTGGTGTCATCTGATCTACGGACTACACAGGACACGTTACGAAGGGTTGCTGCTGCCAACAGGATGTCCCACGCTATACGACGAGCCTTCTCGCGTTTGACTCCGGATATCTTCCGACTATTGTTTACTTCCCATGTCCGCCCCATTCTCGAATACGGATTACCTGCCCTCTTCCCTCTCACCAAGTTCGAATGTGACCTAATTGAGAAGGTGCAACGGCGTGCTTCGAAATACATCTTGGAGTTACGGGACTTGCCTTATCCCCGAAGACTTCAGCAGATGAATCTGTTCACCCTGGATTATCGCCGACGTCGCGGTGACCTGATTTTCACCAGGCGCATCCTGAGAGGAGAGATGGGGACGGAGCTGCAGGCGTGCTTTCAATCCAATCCAAACAGTTCAACATGAGGCCACAATTGGAAACTGTTTAAACCCAGAAAACTTCGGATTCATCCTGCTCTCGCTCTATCAACTCGCGTAGTCAACGATTGGAATAACTTGCCGAAGTATGTGGTCGAGGCCCAGACGGAGGAATGTTTCAAGCGAATGTTAGACTCTTATCTTTTGAGTACGATGGGTCCTTGCAGTTTCCAGTGTAGCTGTCAAGGTCCCTTGTGGATTACCGCATAACATCGAATCGCGGCCTCCACACAATGATCGGGAAGCGATGGAGCTGACAAAGGATTTCTCCTTCTGCTCTCTACAATCCTATGAACCCCGTGTTTCCCTTCTCCTGACGAAGTTTGGTTTCGTCTGTTTTCTTTGATTCAAACGGGCTTTGATGCACACAAAATACTCTGAATCATCTGCTGGTCTGTCGTTTATCATGGCTTCCAAGTTTCTAGATTGTGGTAAGGGTGTCACTACTGTTTCAAATCATTAGCCAGTTTAATGGCTTCGAGAATCTCTGAGCACTCTTGTCTGGATGAAATTCCCGTAACTGAGTCAAATTCTCCGGTTGCCAAGAGAGGTAAACCCAGCTAAGGCTTTCGGGCCAGATTCTGTTCATCCAAAATTGTTGCACGGATTGGCAGTGGAATTCAGTAGACCTCTGACTTGTGTGTTTCAGAAGTCACTCAACAGCTCTTACCTACCGACTGGAAGGAGGCTGTTGTCTTCCCGATTTTCAAGTGCAGTGTCAAAGACCTACCGGCTAATTACAAGCCTGTCGGCTTGACTAGCGTGGTCGTTAGGTTTAACCTGCTTAGCGTCGAGCAACATAGTTTTCGCAAAGGATTTTCGTGTCACACGTACTCCCTGGTATCTCGTGAGAGCTGGGCTGGAGCCGTAGACAGTGAACATGCGGTGTATGTGGTGTTAATTGACTTCCCCAAGATCTTTGACACTGTCCTCCATTCGCGACTCTCACTGAAGTTGAGGTCGTATGGAATGGCTGGTCGCGCTCTCCAGTGGGTGTCAGCTTTTCTGGATGGACGGAGTGTATTCGTGTGGAAAGCAGTCTCGTTTCGACAAGCTGTCCTTAGCGACGTTACGCAAGGCTCTGTCCTAGGTCCGCTGCTGTTCTCAGTCTACGTGAATGAATTGCTGGGGGAGCTTGAGGTAATATCGCTCTTATTTGCTGATGACCTAAAGTTCTGGAATATTGTTGATATCCCTGGAGGTCCTGTGGCTCCTCAACGGACTCTGGGAATGGTCTGTTTTGTGGTTGCTACCCATAAACCGGGTAAAGTATTCAGTGCTACGTATCGGTGCGTCTGATTCCTCCATAACTTATGTGCTCGATGGGCGTGAACTTCCTCACGTGACTCATCAGGTTTATCTAGGTGTCGTTCCCTGTTCCACACTACACTCTGGAGACAACTGGAAGAAGGCGGTTAGTTAAATGTTCCGGATGTTGTGATTTATCCGTCGTTCTTTCAGGACCCTAACCGCTGAAGTGTTTGTGAAGCTCTTCTCAGCGTTTGTGCGACCCAACCTAGAATATTGCGTCCAGGCATGTCCACTATGCCTTGTCCGGGACAAAATGGCACTAGAAAGGGTGTTGCATGTCGACACTAGGTTGATCGTGGGGTTACGAGGACAAACGTACCCCGGACGACTACTTAGTTTGGGGATGCATTCAATGCACTACCGAAGGGTTAGAGGGGGCCTAATCCTAACCTACCTTATTTTGACTGGGAAGGTTGGCCCTGATTTGTCCTGACTATTTAGTCCGGCTAGATTATCTGGTCTCCGCGGGCATTGTGTGAAGCTAGACCAACCGGGGTCCGATCGAGTTAGAGCGGAAACACGGTTATCGCGTCGAGTCATTGTTAGGTCAGACCAAAGTCAAATGCGCACAGAAACGAAACAAGTTGACATGTTCGGGAAGGTAAGTGCGCAATTTCC